TTGTACACTATTAAATTACAAGCCATATACATGCTAACATTAATTACACACAACCCGGGCGCGGTGATGATTTCCCGTAATTCTCCTCAGTTTTTCGTAATTTATAACTTTGAACATATCCTCTCTCCAGAAAGCACAACATAAAAATAACCCGTCGGGCACAGCCAATAGATATACTTCATTGGTAGCATATTCAGTAATGATTTTCTCACGCAGCAAATATCACTGATTTTATACACATGCAGACCAATACACATAATCATCCAGGTGCGATCTTGCTATTTAACCAACTTTCTTCTCAGAGATAAAAACTACAGACAAGTACTATTTGGCCTCACAAAACATATGCAACCAATAATGCAATGTGTCCTCTTTAGATGGACGTTAACAACGATCCTGTTGAACAAACGCAGAATGACTGTTTGCGCCCTAAAAACTACCTAGTTTGCAAGATGACATCTTATAGATTTTTTTGACGTTCTATAGGTTTTTTATTTCATACCCATGCCGTTTAATTATGTGTAATGAAACAAAGCGAAAGAGCCTCTCTTCCCTCCTGTTCTCCTTAAACATGACATCAACCTCGCAATGAATTCCGCAACGACGGAGAAAAAACCAATAGCCTGCGACAACTGTCTCAGAGGTTGCAACGTTGAAACCACAAGACGCTGGTCGATAGGTATACAGGATGATATGCCGTAATCACCAGGGCGCATTCCTGAACCAAATTTATGTAGAAAGGTTCATACTAGTTCATACTGATTTTCAAGAGTCAGGGTGTCAAAGTGTCAAAAAATTGGTCTTTTATTGAGATCTCAGAGATCTTTGTGCGGAATAGGTTGAATGTTGGCAGTATTGCTCATTGTAATAAGACGTTATTACTAACTAAAAAATAATTATGGCTTTTAGTGGCGTCTCACAAATGATATCGACAAAAACGTGTACATCACTGACTTTTCTCAAAATATATATTTTCTACGGATTAATCAGCTCGTGATTCAACTTTTTTATCTCCTGGTATCTTTTCGTTTTCGAGAAGAAAAATAAAAACAACTTCATTGTAGCTCGAAAAATTATTAAAATAAGAGCAAATCATCTTTGATTGCTGTTAGGGAGTGTTGTTCTGTTGTTGTCAACATATTTTGGACTTTCGTGACAGTTTGAAATCATTTTTCCCTCTCAAAAAGCATTTTTTTCAGTTTTTGCTTCTAGATCGGCCGCCACTGGATATATTTCCAAAAGCAACAATTAATTTTTGCCTTAGCTCAGCAGTAACCTTCTGTGGAAAATTCATCAAAATCCGAGCCGTACTTTCCAAGTTACAAAGTGACCAAGCATAAGTCGACACACCGACAAACAGACAATACATTTAATAATAATATAATAATAAATGGTCTTTATTCATCATTATAAATAATAACTTGAGGATACCAAAATTAAAGATAAAATGATGAAAGGCGTAGTTCAGCCTAAGCTGCTTTTCAACTAAACCCACAAAAAATAACACTCATACAATATATATGTATAGAGAAAATTATCATGCGGAGAAAGGTATATAACAAAAATAGGAAAATAATGGGCAAACTCCGCAAAAAGTGGATTCAAGTAGAAAATAGGATAGATAACCCGAGCGATACGTATTTCTGCTGGTTGGCTTCATCAGGCCCGAAATGAATGCACATATGCAACTACAAAAGTAGATACACATGCCCACACATCCTGATACGGGTGTAACCTGAGGAAACGAAGATGGAGAGGAAAAAGAGACACACGAAGTCCACAACAAGAGCCAACCTACACATTGTAGTATAAAATGTCTACAAAACCTCGAATTTTCAAGGCGACAAATAAACACAACCACGCGGCCGGTTATAGCCACTTGCTGTGGTACTTCAAGCCCAGAGGATCTACAAAGAGAAAATGATCATGCGGAGAATGATATGTGCATTCATTTCGGGCCTGATGAAGCCAACCAGCAGAAATCCGTATCGGTCGGGTTACCTATCCTATTTTCTGCTTGAATCCACTTTTTGCGGATTTTGCCCATTATTTTCCTATTTTTGTTATATATATATATATATATGAGAGCATGGCCAATGCAGTTTTTACGAGAGCACAATTCATACAAAAAAACAAGACATCTTAAAAAAAAATACTGGGATATTATCCTTTAAAATGTAGCGAGGTTTGATTATACCGTAGGCCCTTGCTCGTGCAGCAGATCAGCTTTCAATCTTTTTTTCAAATTGCGGAGATTCTTGAGATCTACTGCCAAGCTGTTATACAGTTTCGCAGCATTGTATGGAAAGCTGCGCCTAAACAGAGCTATTGAATGTTTACTTTGTAACATACAAGAATCATATCTCATTCCCGAAATTTTTCGCGATTACCATAGTGCCTCACCAATTGGCGTGGGAAGTAAAATGTATTTCCAGATTTCCAAGTAAGCTGATTTCTCAATATTTTGGTGCGAAAAAGATGCTTTTACATTCGTTTTGCTACTCTTCTAGTAGATCGCCTAGCATCTGAGATACCCTAGGATCAAAGGAGCGATCAGACTGACCAGTTCTCAGTGTACAGAGCTCGATGATGAAACCCTGTGGCATCAGCCAGTATGGTTTGAAAAGCTCCATTGATAAACATGCAATTGCAAGCTAACAGGCTTCCATCTTCTTCGTATACTGCCTCCCCGGTCCTCTATTACAATTCATTTTCTCTTGCATGACGAGCTGCAGAATGTTGTGTTTTCCGAGATGTCTCATCACATGTTCGAATTATGTTAGTTTGCGAGTATTGACGGTCTTAATAATCGCTCTCTCTTTTTTCATGCGTTCGAGTACTCTTTCATTTCTTTCCTTATCAATCGAACTTATACCAAGAATTCGTCCACATTTCAAATACTTCTAATCTTTTCATGATGGCATCTGTGAGTGTCCAAGCTTCAACTCAACCCAACAAAACAGAGATCATATAGCATCTCTTCTACTTTCTTGGGTTTCCATTCATCCCATTTCCTTTATCGACTGTACTAACATTTCCATCTGTCATCATCATCGCCGTTGCTAGGCTTCGAAAAACAATGTCCAAAATTTTACACCACATTACAACGATGGAATGTAGAAAATAGTTTCTGGCTTACATCACGGCATATTAATGGCCGTACGCATTAAGGCCCGTTTAAGCTGATGGTATGTTTCGGTCCGTCAATCATGTGGGAGATTGGGATTGGTTTTGGGTTCCGTACGTGATTCCATATGAAAGCGGCCTTTGTCCTATCTTGAACCGGGCCGAAAGTCTGGACCGGTTTCGGATGAAGACAATGGTATAGCGCGGAGACCAAATGACTGCGGTAGTACTGCCAGACGCAAATTACGACGGAACGCAGTGTAAATAAAGATGGAGTTTGTTATTTTTGGCTCTTAGCTTTTATTTCATTATTTGATAATGTACTCGTAAAATGCAAACAATTAAAAAAGCGGACTTACCACTAACTGTCTCACCGCTTCACCTGGTGTCTGAAAGTTTATTGAACGTATTAAAGAAATCCACTTATAAATAGGGAACACAATTTTGATACATTCATTGTTTTTCTTTTTAAAACCCTCACTGCAGTTTTTTTGTATTTCAAGAAGGTGTTCAAAATGTCGTCCTCCACTTTACACACAAGCTTCATTACGACGAACCCAGTTTCTTCTTACTCTAGGTCCTCGAAGTTGTCCATTTATTATTTCAGACGCATTAACATTTTTTTCGCGAAGTTCTGCTTCAGTTGTTATTGGACCAGCTCCATAAACCATCCCTTTAAGTTCTCCCCAATACCAAAAGTCCATCGGATTGAGGTCAGGAGATCTTGCTGGCCATTTTCGAGGATCAGGAGCATTTCGACCAATCCAGCGATTTGGATAATGTTCTTTCAAATACTGAATGACGCCTCTAAAAGTGTGTGATGGTGCCCCGTCATGAAGAAACCACAAATTCCATCTCCGTTGTAATGGCATGTTGTTGTCTAAGGTCTGTTCCAAAAGTTCTGGTAGGTTATTGGCTAGAAAGCTAAGGTATCCATCTCCTGACAACTTTGGGGGTAACTCGAAAGCGCCAATTACCTGATCGTCAGGAATACCAGTTATTTGCTTGGCAAGACGTAATCAACCGTACATTGTGGACGAACTTCAGCACAACGACTATAAGTACTCCGATACAGGGAAATCTATAAAAAGGCCCGATTTGATGGAAATGAAGGTTAACAAAACATCAGCCCGCTAATAATATTTCACAAAACTAGTCACCTGCAACGCGAATACAGCTTTTTAGATTAAAAAGACAAAGACTTAATTCAAAATTTATTCCCCTCGGTTCTGAATGCAGTGCCAAGCAAAATTACTACGAAAACATATATGGTTTTGAAGTCGCTGTGCATTTTTTTAAATTTCATGTGTTTTTATTTTTCATCACTTTAATATAACACGGACGTAACTAAGTCTTTATTCGTATCGTATCTACTTTTTTTGGAAATTTTGAACACACAAAATGAAAAATGGGTTGATCGTTGCTCATTTTTAAAAAGCTCGTAAACATGAGCAAATATACCCACAAATTCAATTATGTAGCAATAACACCTTTTTGTCAGCAACAACTCAAATCTCGTGAAAATATTTCAAACGCTCTCCTGTAAAATTGGAAAAATGAGATACGCCATTTCGTGTTATGGACGGCGATGTGTCCAGAAGGGGGTGGGGGTAGTGGACCGTAACACCTAAAATTTGCATATCGGTGCAGTTTTGGGGATTTTCAAGCTTTGGCGCTCCTTGAGACTATTTGCTCTATCATGCTTTTCTGAAGTTTAGAGGGCTTGCATTTTTTTAATATACAAGCAGTTGGCGATGTCTTATCGCCTATCCTGCCCCCTGAGAAAAAAATCCTGTCGGCGCCCATGACGGTTTGTAATAGCTATTCGGTGCGATATCTGAAAAATAAAAATAAATCCAGCTTGGAAAGTTGAGCTATGGCTTGGCCAAAAACTTATTTATCTTAAATTAAATTTATTACTAACAGTTTAATTCCACAATTTATTTTGTAACGTTTATAATTGTTTGTTTCAGGTAAACCATGTAGCGACGCGATACTAGCTTCAAAACAAACATCCGCGTTTCAAAATGGCTGCTCCGTCAGTTCAGCAACACCCGTTGCCAATTTCCATAGCGACTCCATCCAGAGACTGCTCAAGCTTTACTAGCACCAAAGGTCTTCTGAATGGTCCTGGACAAAATAACTGCTTTTTGAACAGCGCTGTACAGGTAAGTTATACATTGAAAACGCAGATTTTAGGTTTAAACATAATTTCTATATCCTCATTTTAAAATATCTGCACCTACTTCTTTGTCAATTTTAAAAAAAACGGCTATTCGATCTTCTCAGTCAGTTGTGTTGGAGTAGGGAGTAAGTAGTACCCAGAATATCATGAAATTGTGACAAGTGCAGGAAAGCTTTCTGATGTCTATAAGCATAGCTGCAAGAGATCAGGTAACGAACCGAAAGTATAAATGGGTTGTTCTTATTTTCAACGAAAACATTGTTTTAGGCAGGTAAAATACCAATATGTAATTTATATTTAAAACATCATTCTGTTTTTAAAAAAAGCATAAATATAGACGCCATATGACTATCATCCTAACCGTGTCAAACTTAGTACATCCAGAACTGGTCGATACGACCGCTCCTTGATCTCGAGGGTGTCGAAACCGTGGAACAATATACAAGAGGAAACTTTTCCCAGTTCTAATCTTAGGCAGTCCGAAAATCAGATTAACAAAATCTCTTTGGGACCCTCATAGCAGCTGCGGTGTCCTGGCATTTAGGCTTTTGCCTGAGTGGCTGCTTCAGTGTAAAAAAACTGCCAACAATTGACATGTTCAGTGCGTACAGTCCTATGAGGGCTGGTGGACGCGCACCTTTACAGTACTACGCTTACATTGTGTCTACTCTATAATAAATCTTACGGTTGTTAATTGTTGAATATCGTAACACCCGCATTACGGTAGTACCGTATACTCATGCACTAAAAAGCTGTCAGACCACACCTAAATCTTGACCGCGTTGCGCCACACCAATGCCGCGAGGAGTGTCCGTCAAGAGCACGCGCTGAAGAATGGCAAAAAGACCGCTCATTTTGTAATCAAAGTGCCTCTTCCTGGAGCTGCCGGATCACATTCCGCACCTCGCATGTCATTAGCTCGGCTATTAGCCGACTTAAATTGCTAGATCTACGCGTTGCACTTGCTAGCTTCCTCCCTGAAAATGCCTGGTAGGTTGGTTATTATTGTTGGTACTGCTATTCGTGTTTGTTGCTTGCGGAAGTTGAGAGGATGCTGAAGGTCAGCAATAGAATTGTTGTAATCTTAATAAGACTGAACTTTTCAGAGTGCGTAATATCAAATTAAATTTGCACCTCATACAACAATGCTTCACATGGCACGAAGGATTAAGGCCGTATTTGGTTTTGGTTACAATGTAAAAATGCCCAAAGTTTCCGTAGACGATTTCAGTCCCGATATATTTATTTTCGGATAAAAAATACATAATAAGAAGAATGGCTAACATGACATCACAATATAAGACAAACGTTGATAAATACAAAACAGAACATCATTCAAATACACAAATGAAATATTCCTCAATGCTATAGAAGGCTTTATTTAACATAATTGTACTTATTTTTGCCTTAAAAAGAGACATTTGGTATTGTTTTTATACAAGTTGGTAACTTGTTCTACAACTTTATGGCCATAACATTGAGTCCTATTGAAGATAAAACCCGTAATTCATAACATTGGATACATCTCCTATTTTTGTAGAAAGAACTTGACCAGGCATCTGTAGATATAAAGATAAACTGCTTAAAGGGCTCTCAACACGAGTAGCTATTGTCCTCAATATTTTTCTTTGAAGTGTAATCATGTGAAACTTGAAGGCTTCAAAACTTTGAAAAAATCCATCGTCTAGTTTTTGGCTCGTTAGTAAAAAGTTAGGAGGCAATCCTGCATTTAGCTAGTTTCTTTTTCCACCATACGCGTGACACATGAATCTTTTGTAGGCTGAACTATACTTTAGCGCATATCGTAAATACATATTACATTTCTTATTTTAAAATGAAAGATTAGGATGTAACTTGCTTGCTATTTTATAGAACTTCAAAGTTGAATGCAACTGTGTGGTAATACTGTGTTATAGAATAGCTGTTTTTTTTCTTGTTCACTCGAAAGATCGCTCAAAATTATACGAATATAACATACAATGTAAATTACTGTGACACTGTTCATCGCAATAATGCAATTTTGCGTTATTTTAATGATGAAAATAGTTCATTGTTAAGTAGTAATTTCTTTTATTTCAGATAAATATTCCCATCACTACGCCACCATCCACCACCATCACTATCCTACTCTCTCCATCCTAGTTGTTATGTTGCCAAATTATGGATAGTTATATACCCTAATTTGGTATGTCAAATTCTTACTTATATACTAGCGCAAAAATGTGCAATCGGCACAGGATTGTCATGAAAATGCGATTTGGAGGTGTGGCTGGCAAGGTTTACTGTACTAAACCCACCTTGTGCCTTACGATAGCGTTAGCTAAAGACACTTTTTTGAAGAATGTCTTATGCCCTTCACAAAAGTACTCCGGTTATTGTTTTTCCTATATTATAGTTATAATCTATTTACATTTGTATGTATGTACTCGTACTTGAAGAATTATTTAAAGTCAACCTGATGTCACAAAATATACCTAATTAAATGTGATATATATATATATATATATATATATATAACTTGAGACGTGGTCATTGTCGTGTAGACCAGTTAGGTGAAAAATTAAGGCTTCCGCCTTTTGTTGGGTAATTCGACAAACGTTAAGCAAGGAGGACTCTTTATACTTTTTTATTCTCTCTAGCTTTCAATGGTCTTTGCCATCATCATCAGGAGCTGAAATTACATTGATATCAGTAGCAACAATAGTTTAAAATGAATTTAATTCAACTTACAGTAGTATGTGAAGATGTTGCTATACGAATGTACCATGTATCCAGCATTCACTAGGTTACTGGGTGTTTCCCTCAACCAAAACGTTAATAACCTTTAGCAACAATCTCACATACGAGAGAGTTCCTTAAAGAAAAAATCATATTTTCGTGCAAGCTACATCCTAATCTTTAATTTTAAAGTAAGAAATGAAGTATTTGCGATATGCGCTAAAGTATAGTAAAACATTTGTAAACCAAAAAAAAAATCTTATAGACAATCGAAGTGCGAGGAAAGACTTTTCGAACATGCATATTTTCGCCAAGGCCTATGCATTATAAAATCAGCTGTCAAAGCCTATAGTAAAGATCGAGCTGTCGTCCGTTTTATGTAATATATTTATTTTTGGGAGTATTGGATTAGAGAGCGACAGGTTTACTCGTGTTCTAAACATATTTGATGTCCAAAAATTTGCAAACAAAACTCCAACTACCGCTCTATCCACATTCTAAAAAAATGTCTATTTATGTTTGATCTAGTGATCGTTACTGAAATTACAATTAAATGTTCAGATCAAAATCAGTGGAAAACGCCCATTAACATTATTTATCGATTTAGCATTATTTCTATACAGGCATCTAACATGTCTAGTCAACAGGTTTGAACTGAAAAAAGTATATTCCCATGCCGTAGTGCCCACGAACGCATTTTCCCCATTTTCTCATTATTTCTTCGGTTACTCTTTTTTTTTCATTGAAAAGCTCATTTTTCTCATTATTTGTAAACACTCTGTAGATCACAACATCAATCACTAATTATTGCTTTCAGCCTTCGATGTTCATGATTGTTGACATATCGATCAGAAGCTGTTATTGTAATCAAAGTAACGAACTGGTAACTGAGCAAAGTTATATGGTAAAGACGTTAATTAATTAAATCCATTCCTTTCACACTGCTGCGTTTCTGACACTTGATACAAGATTAGAAGGTGATACGCGCATCTGAAAAGGAAACCGACATGTACCGTTAGATAGGTATCATCTATAAGGCTGGGAATATTGATTAGAATATTGATCTGGGCATATTCTAAGGAACTTATGTTAAATGAACTGTAGCTAGATCACAAGCGGATCCATAGGTGAAGAGTGGGTCCAAACCGACAAAATGATTGGCTCCCTGAACAATGAAAGTACGGGGATCTTTATTCCTGAGAAAATCAGCAAAGGCAGAATGCTTAGTTGTTCCTCTTTAACGTGGTTATTTGATTTATCATGCGTCGGTTGAGCAAGATACTAAAATAAAGAGTCATTGAAGTTGATGAATAATTAAGGGACAAGAGGAATATTTAACAACTCTACTGTCACTCGAATGTTGCAGAACAGCAAGGCAGATAAAGCGTACTCACAATGAGCCCTAACGTGACCTCGTAGTTTTTCTCAGTGCCCGACGAGGTCCACACTGGATACTTTAAAAGAAACGTGTGACTCTGAGTTTGACCAATATCATCATGAAGAAGCTTTGACAGTTAGAAATATGTAATCAACAAACTATTAAATCTAACAGCTAAGTGAAACCGATAAAGCTTTCCTGTGGCTACTACTGATGTCACACAACTGTGAAGCAAACTCCTCCAGTCATATGGCGAGACTCAAGACTCTTGATATCACGAAAGCTTTCGATTAGCTGTGACATGATGCTTTCTTGTGCAAACTTCCATCCGCCTTAGGATGGCTAACTTTCTCTCTGGCTGCAAGATAACCTTGGGAATTGGGTTCTCCTCTTCATCCTACATTGTCAACGCGGGTCCTCTCCCTAACATTCTTTCCATATCAACAACTTGCTCTCCTGAAAGACCAATCCGACCCACAGTTTTGCTGTTGAAAGCACTCTGCATGCAGGATTTTAGAGTGCCAAGCCGGTGACTGCCAGTTTTGAGACTCTTTCGCACTGGCGTAGGGGCGTCAGGGGTCTGGCTCACTTCTATAGAGTTCTCCTCCGTGATACCTTCG